ACGACACATGTAGGAAGTCAGATCCTCAACAGAAGTGAGTCGAGAGGTAGCTCGACAAGTGCATCAGATCGTGATGGAAGGCTTGACATCTAAGCATCTGTGTTTTAGCTTAGTATGCAATCAACCAGGGGGAGAAGTGACGTTATGGTCCAAAGAATGCATATCTTATGGGGGAGAAGCACACTTGGTATGGACGTCCTGAGGAGGCGAATGCATATCTCATGAGGGAGAAAAACATGGTAAGGTGCATATCTCGTGGGGGAGAAAAGCACTTTCAGCATGGAAGGTTTCAAGTAAGAAACGTGGTTGTTGAACCAGAAGAAGGTTTTGCTTGATTGGCACACAAAGCTAAAAGGGGGAGATTGAAGATGTAAGATGTCTGCCCTGAAGTAGTCGTTGACGTAGTTGCTGAAGCAGACGTCGTGTTGAGTGGTGAAGACCATGTGGAGTCAAGATGCTGAGCTGGAGTCGTGTAGACTTGGAGAGCAAGGGAGTATCTTGGAGATATGGAAAGAGAAATAAACTTGAAGAGCAAGTTTATGACTCAAGGAAAGAAGAATAAGTGCATTTCAAGAAAAGGAAAGTTGCACTTATGGATATGGAAGATGTCCATATTGTGTTCCTTGGAGACATGGTTTCGGGAACATGGAGAATAACTATAAGATAACCATGGGGTCGTCTGAAAAGATACAGAGACACAGAGACTAATCTTATAGTGAGAGAGAAAAGCTCTTGGAAGTGTTCTTGGGTCGTGCTGAAGCAGTGGCTGAAGTACTTGACGGAGGAGAGACATATGCGGTGTAGCTTAGGAATCTTTCAGTAGCGTGTGTTAGGGTGTTAACACTAGACGTGTAAAAGCTGAATTAAGCAGATCTTGTAATAGATTGTTTAAAAGAGATTCTAATAAAGCATAAGTGTTTGCTTGTAGTATTTGTCTCTTGGTTTACTTTCCGCAGTACCATTGTGGTGTCCCTTTTACATCAACACACTTTACCTGAAAGATATAAATTTTCTTCAAAAGATATAATATAAATCTGGAAAAAAAAAACTGAAAGATATAAATCAGATATAAATAAATAACTTTGAGAATCATTTTTTTTTTAACTTTGAGATTCATGCATCTTCTAATGCACAATTTATTCAACAGCAACCTAGAGAGAGACGTATTTGGCCACTTGGTTTAGTAGCTTCCAACACTCAGAATCAAGGATCCCGATAACTTCATAATTGATCTCATTTGCTCATTCTGTTAAATCTTTAATAAAAAGCTTATTCTGATTTTAATTCTAATGATTCTCTTCTTATTATTTTTTTGTGTGATCAGGCTCAAAAGCAAATCAACTTTTTTTGTAAAGTATTTCGATACGTACCACGATCTGGTGGAACAGATTATAATTAGTTGGCAAATTCTTATGAAAACGGGTCTCAACTTTGATTTTTTTTTAATATGCATTGTGCGTTTGAATTGGATAGTGATCCAATGATGGCATTAACGATAAACTACATTTACATGTCTGACCCGTCAAATATATTTTTCGTTTAGCAACACCCATCTAATATTATATGAGAAAAATAGCGAATGCCATATAAGTTTTTTTTTTTTTTGAGTGAGAATGCCATATAAGTTACAAGGTTTAAAGAAGAAGTAGAACGAAAGATTAATACAGACTTATTTGTCCCCCTTTGGTGATATGTATAATTGCACCAGGCGCTTATTGATCGGCTGAAGCGGCCTAGCATTTGTATCCGAAACCTGTTAAGTATTATTTTAAACATTATTTAAAAGGATGAAAATGGAATTATCATTTGGATGATACAGCAAGTAAAACATTTTGGTTTTACCTTGCTATTACTCCTTCGGTTTTAAAATACATGATATTTAAGGAAGTTTTTTGATATTTCAAAATAGAAGATATTTATATTTTAATGCATTGTTTTGACTTTATTAAAAACTGTATAATCAATAATACTTTATAGTTTATTTTATAATCAGTTGAATAATTTTATTTTATTTAAGTATATTTTTAGGTTAAAACAAGTTTCTTAATATGTTTGCACTATTCTAAAACTTCATGTATTTTAGAACAGAGAAGAAGTACTTTTTTTCTCAAATTGAAATATATTCATAAGTGAAATAGATATATTTATACATAAACTGGTGTCTGGTGGCATAACAAAATAGCTCCAGAAGAGAGAGGAAGTACATATAAAACATCTTGACCCTACCTTGAAATATTTTATTTACTATAAGTAATCATACTTTCACACACGGTTTTTATGTTGAGAAATATGCAATTCACATAGTAGTTAAATTTATGTTAAAGAAGCTATAATGTGGTCTGTATAATTACTAATAAGTTGGAATCTGATGACCGATGAGAAAAACTTACATCATGTACAGCCACGCGGAGAAGCTCCACTTGCTCACTTGTTACGGTCCTAATCTGAAAGCATTGGACATTTTTTGCGAAAGGTTTTCATTAAAGTAACAAGGTAACTGACACTGTGATGCTAAGAGGATGGTTAAGGGAGAGAATGTTGTCAACAATGTCTAAATACTTTAATATTAATAACTTTTAAATGTAGTTTTGTTAAATATTAAGCATAAAACTTAATGTAAATCATTAAAGAGTACCATGTGTTAAAGGGTATCATATTTTTTCTTTTAAGTTCTCTGTACACAATCCATATTTTTCTCTAACACAACTTTTTCTAATATATATAGTCTGTATTTTTTAAAAGGTAGAATCTGGTCTATAACCCCCCTTCCTTGGGGATGCCCTAAGATATTACTAAGCAAATAACATAATAAAAGATTATTATTATTATATTTTATTATTATAATAATAAAAGATCGTTTTTCTTGAGGATTTCTTTGCGGGTGTCCTTTAAAGTGGGATCAGTCACTATAAAAGATTAAATCCTTAATTTTTAACCAAAAAAAAAGAAAAATAAAGTAAAGACGGGTACTAAAATTATAGCCAGTCTTCATTAAAAAGAAATATTATAGCCAATCACGCAAAGCATCTACAGTCTTCTCTATTAAAAGAAAAATACAACTTTTATTTACCATAAAAGTATCCTATTAGGTCATGTTTCATTAGTTGCATCTAATTAGTCACTTACATTAATCAATTAAATATACTTCCTATGTTTTATTATGTTACATGTTGTAGAATTATTTTTGCTTCAAACATATATATAATTTTTATATTTTTAATGCATATTTTATCAGCTAATAATGATTAATTACAAATTTCAGAAAACTTAATTGTACTTATTGGATTCTTATTTCTTTAGATTTATAAGAAAAAGATAATCACAAAAATATACATTTATTATAAATTTTATTAATATGTGCAAAAAAATTAAAATATGCAACATATTGAAACAGAAGAGTATAATATTTCTAAACAATCTTAATAATTATAAGGACATAAATAGTAAATCAATTTTAACTATAAATTAAAATTTTACTTTTGTTATAATAAAATCTACTGAGAAAAAATCTAACAAAATCTTACTAAATTTTTTAAATACTTTTTTAATTAATGCATTGATTAATTTCATAAATAATAATTAATAATATTATCCTTTAATTTTTTAAAAATATATTATAAAGAATTAAAAATATTAAAAACCAAGAAAAAATTAATGTTAAATAAAGGGAAAATTCCATATAAATACCCCAACTAAATTCTATTAAGCTTTTTAATACCCACACTTTTTCACTATCCAGTTTAAAACCTCAACTAATTATTCTGCCCACTTTAATACATCAACTTTTATAACTGTATCCATTTTAATACTCAAACTTTGTTTATTTTAATTAACAATACTAATAAGTTTCCAATGAAATTTTAAAAATGCCTAAACTTCACAAAAAAAATTAATTTTATTATATGTTTGAGTAACGAAATTAAATAATTTTTTTATAATCTTAAGTTTTGGAATAAGTTTTTTAAGTTTTATATATTGAATTTAGTTTGTTTTATTGAAATAAAAAGTAAATTATTTTTTTTCCTTCAAAAACTTTTTTTTTAAACATTAAATTTTCTACAGAGTTTGTTTACCTTATTTCTTAAATCTTCAAATAAACTTAGAAAATTTAAATATTTTTTCTTAGATTTTGGAGATTTTTTAAAATTTCGTTTGAAATTTATTAGTATTGTTAATTAAAATAAACAAAATTTGAGTATTAAAACAGATACAGTTATAAAATTTGGTGTATTAAAATGGAAAGAATAATTAGTTGAGGTATTAAACTAGGTAGTGAAAAAGTTTGGGTATTAAAAAGCTTAATAGAATTTAGTTGGGGAATTTATATGGAATTTTCCCTTAAATAAAATATACTTACATATTATTATTTATTCTCTATGTATAAAATTTACTAAAATAAGAGGGCTAAATTACTTAAATTGAGCAATGTATTTACTTATAAATTCTCGCAATATACAAAAATGCTAGATACTAAAGTATAATTTTAATCACAACATGGAAATATAAATGATACTAAAAAATATCCTTTATATAATAAAACTAAATAAAGTTTTAAAAAGTATTGTATGTAAACTGTAGAAATTAATATATATATATATATATATATCTTGAAAGAGATTCTCTATTTGATTATTGCATATTAGAATTTTATTGTATTGAACTCAAAACTATTTTAATATATAATAAGAATTAATAACAAAGTAAAATTTATAAAAAAAATTGTTATATATTAATAATGTCGAATAAGAAAGTTAACTAATAAAATTATAGAGTTACACAATATATAATACAAAAAATGTAAATCAAATATTGAAAACTTTTATGATAATATCAAATTATAGATATATAAAATAAAAAAGTTAAAAAAATCATATTGTATTATACAATGATAATACAAAAATTGAAAATCAAATATTTAAAAAGTTTGTGATAATATCAAAATTATACATATATAAATGAAAAGTTACCCAAGAAGACTTGCGAATCAAACTCTAGTTGTTTTAGTTATATTCACAGTCCTCATCCATGATCATGAGCCACTATTAATAGCGAAAATAAGCTGGTTATCAAAGTTCAAAAATTTAAAAGTTGAAAATGCAGAAGATAATATTAGAAAATTACAATATCGAAGAAAGCTATAGAGGTTTTTTTTCTTAAAACAACTAATTAGTAAATTACCTTTCTGGAAACTGACCAAATAACATTTTCAGAACATGGAGGAGTTGTAAGTGATCCAAGATATCTATAGTATTGTTTTAATTCGAAATTGAGGTTTTTGGGATCAATCACCCCGACATAATCCTCGGACTCGTGTGTATCAGTTATCTTCTTCAAGTGTTCTTCCAACTATCAAAACGAATATAAAAGGTCTGAACTTGTGCGATCATCGATGGAAAAACAATAGTTATGAATTAGGTTGAGAATGGAAATACCGAAAGAAGAAGAGGGTCAGGTTCTCCAATATTGTATAAGAACGCAACAACAGCGAAACGTCCACTTTTGCTCTCATGAACCATGTGTTTCTCAAGAGCATACCTATTCAATTATGTCACATTTTGCATTCTATTCAACTAACATACGTATTGATTAATACATACAAGCATAACTAAAAGAGTTTTTTTTTGTTGGGTCTCTTAATCAAAATCATTGGTGTTGAACAATATCATAAACATTATGACTTAGTGGATGATTTAAAACTCTTGTTAACCCTCCATTTAGACACTGGGTCGGTGTATTTAGTTAAATCAGAATCATCATTTAACATTCAGAAAATACCAGCTAAAATGTGTTGCAAGCCGCACACCACAATACCACGCTGTCCTAGTAGGTGAATATTAATGTACTAAAAGTCTAAACCCTCTTTATTTTTTTTAAAGCCGGATACTCTGGAAGAGTAGTCTGGATCTCTTATCCCTGCACTCTATCAAACCAGATTGAGATTTGAGAGAGGCTACGGTTGGAGGAGGATGGGGTAGCCATTTCTTAGACTGTTTTGTGTTCTTTTTAACAGTGAGATAGCAATCTTTACGTTATTAGATATGGTAGAACACAAATGTACGAATAGATATACCTTTTGCCATTGATTGCGTGTTCGGAAGGAGAATGCCAATGAAGCTGTTGAAGTTTGTATTTTATCCCACGAACAGTGATACCTATACCCGTATCTCCTTTAAATTCCAACTGCCATATTAACAAAAAGGTACATCATTATGACCAAAAATGGAATGACCAATGGAGTGGTGGTCTGAACGGGGAAGAATTCCTCGGTGGGTTTAGGGTCATGGATTGAAATTCCACAAACTATAAATCATCCATTTTGGACCGTTCAATAGTCACAGCAAAAATGCTAAAATAACAATAGAAACTCAGCTTTCTACGTGCAGCTATATTTCTATAATATTATTTAAAAAGTTAATTTCTTACGTATCACATTCAAGTTAACTCTTATGATGGTTGATTACATTAATAATTATAATGAATTGAATTATTTATTATAATTGTCACTATTGATACTTCTATTTTTCTACTAAAAATTATAGCAAATTGTCATTAAAAACAATTATTTTATTTCATTTTTTCTTAATAAATATTTTGTGAAATTTTGGATTTAAATTGTCATTTTTTCAAAACCACATATAGAAAATAAGTTAAAAATATAAAATACATATTATATATATATATATGTAACCGAATTTTAGTTTTAGTTTTTTCCCCAAAACAACATAAATAAAACGAAATATCTGTAAATTTTTAAAAGACATATCTATATGTATATATATTTATATATAACATAAATTCAAAAAAGACAAAATAACGAATTTTACATATTTTGTTTCAAAATAATTTTAATATGAATATACTTTGGTAAATGATTGAAAATAAAATAATTTTTAAAACGTAAATTGAACAATCAATATCATATTTTCAAAGATTTTTGTTATGAATAATTTTTGTAAATGATTAAAAAAACATTTAAAAAAACATAAACTGATCAATTAATATCATATTTTTCAAAGATGCTTATATCTTATTACTATCTTAAACCCAGTTAAATATTTAAAAATGTGTGGCTGAATGAAAAGATAAAAAAACTACTTCTTAATATGACTAGTTTTGATTATATAATTAATTTTTAATAACATAAATTGATCATATAATAGCAGATCTCAGTAAAAACTTATGTAATGAGTAAATTAAAGTGAATAAATAAATTGGAAATTAAACTTATTCTTGTTACTTTATCCGAATTGAATATGACCATATTGATGGAAATAAACTTATATGTTTTTTTGTTGTAATAGTTACTTTCTTAGAATTTAAATGCTAAAGAACTTTCAAAGAAGTAGTAGTGATTCGGTTTGTTTATGCAACTCTAAATCCCTCAACATATTTAATTTTCTTGAAAATATTCTATATTAAATTATACATAATTTTACAAAATATATTTATCAATCTAAGATGAAAACTGAAAAAACTAATTCCCTCAACACTAAATCCCTCAAGTAGTAGTGATTCAGTTTGTTTATGCAACTCTAAATCTCGCAACACTGATTTATCTATTTTTATTGAATATATTGTATATCAAATTATACATAATTTTATAAAATATATTTATCAAACTAAGATGAAAACTAAAAAAATCTAATTAGCAACATTATTCTTATTTTAGTCTAATTACAACCAAAAATATTATTCATTTCAAAAGAATATGAATAACCAAAACGGATAAAAATAGAACAATCAAATAAACCAGTTATTATGATTTAGTTATATTATATGGGCATGAATTTTCAAAGTATTACAAGTTATGTTATTAAAATTTTGAAGTAGTATAAATGTTCCCAATTTCCTCAGTATAACATATATGAAAATTTTACAAAATTTTCTAAAATATATTTACAAATATAAGAAGGTGAACTGAACTAGTTGAAATTAAGAAAATATTATTAATCCAAATTTAACTTAGATAAAAAAAATAGTTGCGTTACAAAAGAATACATATATCAACTCAACATATCAAAATATATACTTGAACCAATCCAAAATCTTATAACTCAAATCACTTATCTAATTAAAACGAGGAACATAATAACACTTAATACAATTTTTATTTACTTCTCATATATGTTATTTACAAAATGAATTAAAACTTATAAACAAACGAAGTTATTATAATTTAATTATTCTATAAATATTTATTTCCTTGCATGGAGATAGGAGAATCACCTAGTTTATTTGAAAAAAAAATCTATTTTAGTTTTTAACTCTAAAACTCTATTTTAGAGTAAATCTTCTCTAACTCCAACGTATAATATAGTTCAAGTAAAAGTTAACTCTATTTTTGAATTATTATATTTTAGATATAATCTAAAATAATTAATTAAAATCTTAAAAATAGCTAGGAATTAGATCCACGATCTACTCTTTTATCATTTAAAAAAATAAATAGAAGTTTGGAAAGTTTAATAGTTGATTTACCATGATATCATGCCCTCTGTTCTTAATAGTAGCATTGGCAGGCAAATACTGGCTACGTAGAGGTCCAATTTTACTAGTAACTTTGACATTTTCGTCCGTAAGATTAATCGGAGATTGCATTTTTCCAGTTCCACACAACTTCCACTCTGCCTTTAGTGTCCCCCATTTCGCTGGCCCCTTGGGTCCGTTTGCCTCGTAGTTAAACTCCAGCTCGTCCTCTATTCGAACCCCATTCAATTGTATTTTTGTTATACTCAAATACACTAAAACATGTTTTTGGTACTAACTTTGATTCAACAAGTCTTCTAAGGTGAATATATGTAAAGTTTCATTGAATTTTAATCGAAGCAATTAAATGGAATGACAATAAGTTATAAACTTAAGTTTTTTTTGTAATCTTATCTTTAACTAAGCTTTTCAACGTAAAACTAATGTGGATATATTAGCATTTAGAGATAATATAAATTATAAAAACAACAATTTATATAGCTTACCAACTTCTCCCCCTGGTGGTGCACCCGAAACATAGATTAAGATAAGGAGAAAGATGCAACCAGTTGATAATATCTTCATTTTCTTTTGCTTCTGTCTTGACGAAAGAGATGAAAATAAGTTAAATATTAATTTTACTTCCATATTTGGGCACTTAATTAACCTAATATTTGAATACTAAACGTGTTCTAGATGAAGAAAATAGAGTTGTATATACATACCAAAGTCAATGAATATGATGTGATTTCGTTAATTTAAGTAGCGTGTGAAAGATATATATTTACATAATTATATATGTACTTAAATACAATTCGTTTCATGGTAGTTGTCAAGGACAATGAAAGAGGAATGATAACTGAGAAAAGAAAAAGAATGGAGATTGATGGCGAAAAATTAAAAGAGATGATGAGAAGAAAGGAAGGAAACTGAGACAACCGTACTCAACAAAAAAAATAACTTTAGACTAGTTAGATTAAATTTATCAGATTTGATGAAACAAATATTTATATATATATAAGAATTTGTAAAATATATATTTATATAAATATTAACCAGTTAGAATTTGTGGAAATTTTGATCAGTTTCTTACAAAATGTTATAAATACTTTACTATATTTCTATCAAATGGATGATAAATAGTACTCCCTCCGTTTCGATTTAATTGTCATTCTGGAGGAAAAATTCGTTTCAAAATAAGTGTCGTTTTAGAGTTTCGAGATAAAATTTATTAGTTTCATATAATATTCTATTTTTCTATTGGTTGAAAAGTCGTTAGGTGTATAGGTAATTGTATTTTTTTTCTTGAAAATATGTAAAATTAAATATTTCCTTAATCTGTGTGCAAAAACGTAGAATGACAATTAAAATGAAACGGAGGGAGTAGAAAACACTATCATTTTTTCTTTGTTGAAACTTTGTAGACATTTTGATAAATTTGGAAAAAGATAAAATGTTGAGAAGTTCTGACCAATTTTCAACAAAAGCAACTTTCAAAATTATTTGATGGAGAAGTACCGATTTTTCAACAACTCAAAAGGTTTTATAATTGTCAGAAATCAGTTAAAACGTTAATTATTTGAAAAAAAAAGAACCTTGAGTGATAAGTTTCTTGATAGTTAACTTCTTTTCTGGTAGTGCGACGACACATGTTTTATACTCTCCGTTTCATAATATATGATTTTTTAATTAGTGCACAAAATTTTTAAAAATTTACACTCTTCTAAAAATATTTTTTCTTTAAATATTGATTGAAAATAAATATATTCTTAGAAGAAATTTTTGAAATAGCTTATATACATATATTAATACTTTAGAATTTAGTAAAATTTTAATCAATTTCTTACGAAATGTTATAAATAATTTGAATATATTTCAATGTAACTGATTAATTTGTAAAGAATATAATGTGCAGAATTTCTGACCAATTTTCAGCAAATTAAGAAATCTTAAAAATTATTGGATTGAGAAGTACCGATTTTTAACAAACTCAAAAAGTTTTATAATTGTCAGAAATTAGTTGAAAAGATACCTTGAGTCTCTTGATAGTTGACTTCTTTTCTTGTAGTGTGACGACACATATTTAGTGTACTTAAAGTGGCGAACATTAGCATAAAATATTAGGATGTTGCTATATAACCAGAGAATTTTTATATTATTATATAAATGAATAACTTTACAATTTTTATACCTATTTTATAACAGTCTCAAAATTCGATTTCTCTTTCTTTACAAGAATATATATATATATATATATATATATATATATTTATCTTAGAAAAAGTATTTTGTATACTCCTAAAATACATGTACTACGTTTGACCCAACAAATATTGGACTTTTACTGGTGCAAATAGATTTAAGATACTTCTAGAATTAACAAGTTTGTATTTACCAAACAAATAGTTCTTCGATTTCTTTCTATTTTACGAATTGGAGTTGTGCACACGTATTATAATAATATTTAATTTTATTTTTCTTTAAAAAAATATCATTAATTATCTTACTAACCACAATTTAATCAATAGAAAATAATTTTCACAATATTAAAATCATATAACATAAAAATTAATAAATTATACATTGTAAATGTCATATAATTTGAAACAGAAAAAATCTTTATAATGTCATATTTTAGAAAAGAGTGAGTAAAAGTTACATTAAATGACCATAAAAAATAATTAGGAAGAGTTATTCTTGGTTTCACCCCCTAGGGTGAACCTCTAGGTTCATCATCCAACAGGATTACATTATTACATTATTTCTTATTTGATATTTAAAAAAAAAAAGAAACAAAATCTTGTTAAGATATATTATGTTTTAAAAATAAAAATACAAAAATAAATAAAAAATAATAGTAATTAATAAAAACGAAAATATTTTTTTGTAAAATAAAATATTTTAACACTAAACCCTAAACTTTAATCCTAAACCCTAAAACCCTGGTAAATCATAAACCTTTGGATAACTTTTATAAAACATTCTGTAAGAAAATTATTTTAACACTAAACCCTAAACCTTGGGTAAATCATAACACGAAACCCTAAATTCTAATCCTAAATCCTAAACCCTTGGGTAAATCAAATCATAAACACTAAATTTTTAAAACACTATAAGATTTATCCAAAGACTTATGATTTAGCAGGGGTTTAGGGTTTAGGATTATAGTTTAGGGTTTAGTGTTAAAATATTTGTTTAAAAAGAATTATTTTTGTTTTTATTAATTATTTTTTTAATTATTTATTGTTGTATTTTTTTATTTTAAAAAACATAATATAATTTAATAAAAAAAAATTTCATTTTTAAAAAAATATCAAATAGAAATAATGCATTCCTATTGTATGGTGAATCTAGAGGATGAACCCAATAATAAGTCAATGAACAATTATGCTCCGACCAAACCAAACGGTTTCAATTTCAATGAGCTAAATAGTCGTTATCAGAACGACACTCTTTACTCATACCTTCAGCTGACAGGCCGGCGAACGCCTCGAAGACGAGAACAACTCCTTGATGGTGGTCATCAACACATCGAAAGGAGATCATATGAATAGTTGCCTTCCTAACTAAACGGCTTGCACTTCTTAAGATGAATGCTACAACTTCTTAATTTGTCTTCTTCTCCTCCTTCATAAAATTACCATTCAAAAGTTGCAAGACTTGATAAGACATTCAGGAACTAAACTCTGTTCATTCCAGCATGGACGCAGGTACAGATTAGAACGAAGGGTATGACACTTATATAAACATGATACAATTACACTACACTAGATCAATCACACTCATAATTCATAAAGTACTTCAATATACATATATATATATAATCTTATCAAATTTATGACATTAAATGATTAGGGGTGAAATACATGTTTGTATGTAGGTTACACCATAATTATCACAGCACCTTAAATGGGGTTTTAAAGTAAATTAACTAGATTTTGACCCGTTCTTTTATAGGTGGAGATATATTTTTTTGTTTCAATTTTTATTTTAGAAATTTAATTTACATATTTATGTTTTTTGTAAGAATATTTGTGTTTTTAAAAAAGAAATATTTATGTATGAATCTTAATCAAAATCGATTTTATAAAATAATAGCAATTTAAAAGTTGATATGACATACGCTTGTATCTTTGTAAACAAATGTGTGTATGTCCGTTTCTTTGTAATCACATTGCTCAATTCTAAATTTTGATTTGCGTTTTCAAAATGTAAATTTGTTTCCAAAACAAATCAAACTTATTTGATATAAAATTGTATTTTTGATTATTATTTACATTTAAATATTAAAAAGAAAGCATTATAACTGTGCAGATTATATAATATGTTTAACATTTTAATATAAATAGTTTTAATGATAAAATATGTAATAAGGTTTTCATAAAATCAGGATATTTTTGTATTTTTAGCATTTTGAATTATTAAAGTAATTAATTATATTCATACTCGGAAACCAGTGTGGCATCTACCCGTAAGTCTAGGTCTCGGATCCGATTAAATACGACCTATATATTCAAAACTTTGATTTATTGTATTGGTCTAAATTTTGCTAAATTTGATTTATAATAGAATTTTAATAATGTTTGTTATATTTTCATATTTGATATATATAGAGTATTTGCACTCCATACACACACAAAACCCCTTATTTAACTCTATATCCTATTTCCCCCTTCTCTCTCCTCCCCCTATCACTATTTCCCCCCCCCCCCTCCAAAATATGG